TAAATAAAAATGTTATATACTTACCTGTAGTTACATGCTTTTGTACATTGATTGACAGACAAATTTAGCACCAACAAAGAAGGTGGTAATTCATCTAAAACGTATTACAAAAGGAATAAGAAACAGCATTCAGTGGTGCACTAATATTTATATTACATACTGTTCTCTTAGGCTATGTTCACACACACGGCGTAAGGCTGGCTTAAGCCTGGCGTAGCGTACGCCTTTGTGTGTGAACTAGGCAGTGGCATTGTTAAAGCCACTCACTACGCCACGTCCTTGGCGTTATTAACGCTACCTGCAGACCCCAGATTAGCTAACGCCACTGACCTAACGCCAGTGATGCTTGAATGATTTGACTTCATTTCAAGAGATTGACCAATCACGATTGCACTATATTAGCTACTTTGGTCTCTTTCCTGTGCACTCTACAAATGAAATGGTAAAGGAGTTCTTTTTCTATTTCTATTATAATGTATATGATTTGTTGATTGTGTTTTGTAAGATATTTTAATCTATTTAGACTGTCTATTAAAACCTGCAACACCAACAATGCTAGCTGAAAAATCAAAGTAAAATTGTTCATTTAAAATACAATGATCATATAAGTTCACTTCGCCGTCTTACGCCGTGTGTGTGAACATAGCTATAGAGTTTAGTCATCCAGTAATGCACAATCCAGTAATGTACATACTGTACACTAATAGCTTTTCATTATCTTATAATTACCATTAAAATAATTATCATCCTCACCCAAATCCTCATTACCAACATGTGTGATGTGCGTTTCACTTTGAAAACTTTATCAACCGAAACAACACTATTACTGCCATTCATAATTACTGTAAATAACCTTATTTAAACAATCTGAAAAGTATCCAAGGATGAATAATCACCTATGTCAAGATGTGATATCAAGTTATCAGATATATCTAGGAATTTGAGCATTTGCATTGAGAGCAGGTTTTCAACTTTCTGAATGCTGTTCCCAGACAAAACAAGGAAGCGAAGGTGACTCAGAGATTCCAAATTCTCAATCCGTTCAATCACATTCTAAAAGAGAAAAGCATTGAGATACAAATAATAGCAGCTCCATTGCTCAGCTGTACTAAAAAACCTGACCAAATTTTCAACAATTTTTGACAATACAGTCAACTTGAATAGTATATTATGAAGCATCACTGAAAAATTGTTTTTATGTTATTTTAGACGCACATCAGTTAGATGTACATTATGGGCCTGTTTCTACTGGAAAGAAATAATCAATTAAAAATCACTTTTTCGAAAATCCGCTTTTATTTTGCAATAGAAATGGGACCAGTTTGAAAAAAGCGATTAAAAAAAATCGATTAAAAAACACGCAATGGATAGTGTGTTTGAACGGCAATAACCCATTTTGGCTGTGCACCTTTTAGCTGCAACACAAAAAAAATGTGAAATATGACCCCCAGGTCAATCACTGCAAAGACTAGATCGTATTAGGCGCGAACTTTCCAAAAAATTTGTCCTCTTGTTCATGTCCAAGGCCTACAAGCTAAAAACGTCAACAAACATGTGAAGCGACGAATTCGTTTTGTAATTATTTTGTGGGGGGATATTGGGCCTAGGCTTCTCCGCTCTTTTGGGCCTACCGTTGTCCTCCGTTTGGTCGCTCGTTAATTGTGCCAATGAGCACAGCCAAAAACATTTGCCTTCTCGCCCCACACCGTATCTTACTCCTCGTCATCATGACAGGAATGAGAAAGATACTATCATATACAGTTAGGAAAACAACGTGTTGTATAAACAAAATGTTGACTTAATTTCCGCCACAAAATCGATTTTCAAAAAATCAAAAATGCAGTTGCAACGCGAGCAGGCTGTCTGGTACTCATTAAAAAAGCAGTTAAAAAAAATTGATTATTTTGTGTTTATCAGTAGAAACACACCCTATGAGACTGAATTGATTGAAATTATTATCTCAGTGCAAGTATTGCTCTCAGCGAAGTTTTTGTTGTTTTGTTATACATTGTACGTATATCTACCTAATGATTGACACACACACATATTTTGACCATCTTCATACTTTTTATAGTATTGTTTATTTCAAAAGAGCTTAGTAACAATCACATAACAATGTAAATGTGACAAACCTGTTGTAAATATAGATTAGTTACTGGTCCAAGCATCTCCAAATTGTCAATATGTTTGATGTTTTCACGGTCCAAACGAACATGACTGATTTTCGCCAATGATTCAATTCTATGTGTAAACAAAAAAACGAACATGACTGATCTTTGCCAATGATTCAATTCTATGTGTAAACAAAAAAACGAACATGACTGATCTTTGCTAATGATTCAATTCTATGTGTAAACAAAAAAACGAACATGACTGATCTTTGCCAATGATTCAATTCTATGTGTAAACAAAAAACAAACATGACTGATCTTTGCCAATGATTCAATTCTATGTGTAAACAAAAAAACGAACATGACTGATCTTTGCCAATGATTCAA